AAATCTCAAGCAGCTTTAAAATATGAAGTACATCTAAAAAACAAAAGAAACGGTGGTAGTTACAGAATCTGTTGTCTAGCCAGACTAACACAGAAACAAAACAAAACAAACCTCAGAAGGAAACAGCCACCCCAACACACCCACAGGAGCCCAGATCTACTGCCTGACAGCCCACCTGAAAGCAGGGACTGCCGGAGTCACAGCAAACGGATCCGATTGATTCCATCCTTTTCTTTTGCTCACAGTGAACTTTAAAAAGGAAAGAAGACAGACCAGTAGAGAGAGATGCCAGGAGCTTCTGTAAAACATGTAAAAATAGACTGGGGAAGTACCTTCTCTGAATGTGTATGCTCACTTGTGCACAATGACATTTCTCTACAGGGTCTGAATGCTTCTACAGAAGTCACCGTATAAATCACAGTGCCCCTTCCTACCACCCTCAAGAGAAATGTGACTAACCCTGGCTATGTCCTCAAGGACATGCCAAAGAACGTGTGGAAACGTTACTTAAGGAATGTTTAATTCCACAAGTTAATCACCGTTGATGTCTTTTTCCTCCACTTTATTTCCACTACTCACATCGCCCCGCATTTTCATCTAGGCATTTTGGCAGGCTGAAGGGCTTTGATAATGGAGATTATTTAGAACAAGCAGTGAGAGTCTGGACCCCATCTGCATGCGTGTTGGACAGTCCCTGGGTACATTTGCATACAGGACTGACATTGCCAAACCTGGGGACAAGGGACGGCCACTACTATGCCATTTAGACTATTTCAATAGCACAAATGGAATGTCATGAGGTGCTGCTCGACATGGCTGCCGTGTAATGAGAGAGATAGAAGACAGAGGGGAGTGGGAACTTGGGGGCCCCAAACACAGTTTACTATTATCAGGGTAAGAATAGAGGGAAGGCAAACTGTCTCCACAATTAATTCTGAGTTTGAGTATTTTGGAGAATGGTGGGAATACTTGGATAGGTTGGAGGGGAGTGCCCATCCAGAGGAAAGGGAGAGCATGTTTGAACTCGAGAAACAAATTACAGAGCTGCAGTAGGTGAAGGCATTCTGGGAATACAATTTGTCTCTAGTTTAGTTGCTCCAGAGTCGATTCTGACTCTTGGTGGCCACGTGTGCATCACAGTAGGGCTGTACTCCCCAGGGTTTTCAGCGGTTAGTAATTTGGAACTAATTCATCAGGGCTTCTTTCTGAGGCACCAAGGCCAACCTTTTGATTAGCAGCTGAGTTAACGTGAAGGGCATTAAGAGCTTGAACCACCCAGGAACTCCACAGACCCGCTACCTAGTGCCAATATTACCGCAGCATATCAACGACATCTTCCTTGAGGAGATGATCACATGTACCATATATCCTCGCGTGCAAGACGAGTTTTTCAGCACATTCTTAATGCAGTTTTTGTGGTAAAATTAGGTGCCTCGGCTGATATTCGGGTTGGCTTATACTCGAGTATATACAATAGCTAGTTATTAATTTAGTTAAAGAGGGTAAGGGAATTTAAATGAATATAACAGCAAAGACATAGGTTTATTCTTTGGTTTATTATCACTTTCTTAATCTGTGTTCAATGCGCACTTGTGATATTCCATTGACTGTGCTGATCAATCTCTAACAGTGGGTTTGGGGGAAATCCAAAGGGCAGTTAGGGAGCTATTTCCCTGAGCTCTTAAAATTTAAAGGTTGAAGGGAGCTGCTGGTATAGATAATTTTAAGACCAGCTCTCCTGGGTTCTTATAGATCTCTGTGTCTGTACCTCTCTCTCTCTCCTTCTCCCTCTCTCTCACACACACCTTCTCTTACTATATGCTAAAACTCCTTTATGCTGATTTGTAACATCTATAACTTTTAAAAATCTGGCTGTACGTATTCTTATAAGCCACCTCTGATATTTTTGAGCAAGACAAAACATAAATAAACTCTAAGCTAAAATAGCTACTCTCCATTCCTGCCAGCTTGATGAATCAAATGCTTTTCATTTGTATTCTCTTCCAACCTTATCCATATAGATACATAATTTTTACATATTAAGAGTGTGAAAGTATATATACAGAAAGAAAATGATTTTTCCTCTTTCTAAAAAGAGTGGCCTTCAGACATAGACTATCTAGTGATTAAACTGTGCGCTCAAGCCTACAGGGGAAATGGAGCATCAGGAAGGAGGCTCCCCCATGCCTGTATTAAGCCAAGGTGGGTTGTGTGATCAGAGGGAGGCGTCCTGTTTGGCCACAAGCTCTGAGTCAATCTCCCAAGCACATGTGTACATTTCTCCAAAGGTCCTGACAGCCTCCATCAGAAGACAGAGCCCCAATGTAACTTCCCTGTGCCGTAACTTCTAATACTCCATAAGTCAGGAACAAATGCTGGGAACCACCCTTCCTTCTACCAATCACATGAACGTTAGCACCAAACTTGCTTTTGGACTTTCCCCAATTTCCCTTTTCCTGGTTGGGAACTATAGCCGATTCTGTTCAGCATCTGAATCTTTTTTGTGTGTGTGAGAGAGTGAGTGAGAGTGAGGGAGTGAGAGTGAGAGTGAGAGTGAGTAAGAGTGAGGGAGTGAGAGTGAGAGTGAGTGAGTGAGTGAGTAAGTGAGAGTCCAGCATCTGAATCTTTCTCCTGACTTCCTAAGAGCATGCGTGCTCAATAAAGGGTAGTTAGAACTTGAACAGGTGATCTTGTGAGACACATCACTTCAACTCACAGGTGTCCCAAATAGTTGTTTGGATTCCCTTTTGGCAGGAATCAGCAAGGGATGGAAAGAAGAAACTACAGCGTAATTTTTTAACATGGGTTTGAATTGGTTCTCTGCAATCACTGGCGCAATGGCCATAGGGCACTTTAAGTTCCCAGGATCTCAGTTTCCTTTTCTTTATTTTGGGTAGGCTTTTGTATTCTCCTGAAGGATGTATCACCAGGGTGAGTTGTATGAATGGCTCACTACAGTGATTGGTCCAAATAGGCCATTAGTACGTGGCTGAGAGCCATGTACTAAAGGCTAAAGGAGCCCTGGTGCTGCCATGGGCTACTCACTACAAGGGTTGCAGTTTGAAAGTGCCAGGTGCTTCCTGGGAGAAAAATGCCACTTTCTGCTCTTAAAGTGTTTCTTTAGTACTTTCTCTGAACACTTTTAATACTTTTAACACCTTCTAGTAATAAAGAGTTACAGTCTCGGAAACCCGCCAGGGTATTTCTACCCTGTCCTTTAGGGTGTCAGTGAGCAAAAATTGGCTTGACTGAGTTGAGGAAAGCTGAAAATCACTTCATTTTACCTGCATCTGCAAATTCTCCTCTAATTAATAAAGAGAAGCGAGGGGGGGGGGGGATTGAAAAGGTTTATCTGTATCTGCCTTCTTCCTAACAACACTGACTGAAATACAACAATGAAGAGTTTTCACCAGAAGCTATGTGAAGCATTGAATTGTCCGTCTAAAATATGTACTGAAACCTCCCCTGTACCTCGATAGTCACTCTGTTGAGAAATAGGGTTTCTTTAGGGATGTTAATGTGACAAAGCAAGAGAAGGGTGGGTTCTAAATCACATCAGTTTTGAGCTATAACACAGAACAGACCAGCCACAGAGATGCCTACAAGGGAAGACAGATGCTATTGATTATTCTCCGACCAGCAAAATAAGTCTAAAATTTTTTGGCATACTGGAATGTAGGGGCACTACACAGGAGGATTCAGTACTCCGACAACCTGGATTGAGACTTTTAACATCCATAACTGTGAGAAAATAGTTTCCTTTATCCAAAATCCCCATTTGAGGAATTTATGTTATAGCAGCACTAGGTAACTAAGAGCACAAAAGACCACTGGTTTCATGACCTTGATGTTAAGTTTGAATCATGTCATTCCCAAATGTTGACTTCCAGGCCCACATTATTTTGGAGAAAAAGGCACAGAGGGGGTTGTATTCTCAATTAATGAATAAAGGAAGTATAGCTACAAAGTGCTCTCAAAAGGATAAGGACCCCAAATAGATCAGCATCAGATAAAGTATTTGGGATTTGATGCAGCTTTTTTTTTAGGAAAACTAGGTGGATTCTTTGAATTACAGGTTCACAAAGCCCTTTGAGTCACTGCACAACCGTGGGAAAGTGATGTAACTTTTGAATACTCTCACGTGTTAATTTGAACCCATTTCCTCTGCCTCTTTCCCAGGACTCATCTAAGGTCATCTAATGTGTGTGCAGTCAAAATGTGAATGGTAAGATGCTGCAAAATGAAGGGAAGATTACTGTGCTGACGTGGGTCATTTCTACCTACTGACTGATTCTTTCCAACATTATGTTTCCTGTATAAACTGAACACCTCAAATGTCTGCTCTTCCTGTTGACAGAGGAAACGCAAGTGTAGGGTATAAAAGTCACCTCTACACATTATCCTGCGGACAACTACTCGTGACTAAGCTGAATGAATCCTCCTGCTTAAGATAAGACTCCAACCAGGTCTGGAAGGTCTTTCATTCATGTTCCTTTCCAAAACAGGTGCCTTACCAACATCCTAGTAAGAATGATTGATTTCAAAATTACAGTTCCTTCTCACTGCCATGCTACAGTGGAATACTCTGCACATGGTGAGCCCTTGAGCGAGAATGGACTTCACAACAACTAACAACCACCAACAATGCACGTATCCTTTAAACCGTACCCTTCATTTATGCCGAATTATGAATGGAGTTCATTTTATCACCTTAAAACTCCCCCAAACCCACAGCCATCAAGTTCACTTGAAAGGGAAGCCTAGTGGGTATGGTGACATCAGAATTTTTCTCTGTGTGGGTGGTTGTATATCTGGGCAATGTCTAGTGATTAATGTTGCTTCATTCTCTAGGCACCCAAAAAAATCTCACAAACCTTTCTAGAATTAAATAACTACATAAGAACAAAACCAAACCCCAAATTCCCTGCCATCAAATCGATTCCAAGTCCTAAGAGCCAAAGCACTTGGGAGTTGAAGAAAGAAAAGAGAAGTCATCTTACCCAGTGGGCCTTGTGTCCTCAATGGCTCTGTCCACTGGGATCAAATCACTAAGGTAGACATTGAAGTTTCCTTCTTTCCATCGTCGCTCGGCCTCTTTCTCCTTCCCACGGGGAACAATGACAGGGCGTCCAAACTGGCCGGGAGCTTTGGGATCCCTTGGAGAAAGTGTCTCATCAATTCTTAACACCTGGTGCATCCCATGGGGTTCAGGTAAATGGGCTTTTATATGACTTTGATTCTGCACTGCAGGCTGGACTTGGCCTGTTAAGTTAGCTTGTGCCAGTTCTACCTCCTTAGCTAAGGATTGGTCCATTTGAGACAGTCTTAAGAAAGCCACCTCACTTCTATTCCTGGAAATATTTTTCTCTTGATTTGCACCCAACACTTTAGGAAATATAGTTTGGGTTTTAGAATTCATGATCGCTTTGGTATCCACCTTTAACTCCTCTTCCTTGGTTATGATCACAACATGGCTTTCAGAAAAATTGAATTTCTTCCTAAGAGCCACTTTGGCCCTATCAGCCTTTGGCAGGCCTCCCAGCTGTGTCTCATTAATGGATTGCTTCTTTAATCCATTTGGGTTGGCGGTCAACTTAGAAGGGGGAAGATCCTTATTGACTTCGTGCTTTTTTGCGTTCAGTTCTTTGCGCTGAATCTCAGATTTGTTTAAGGCTGGTGTATCCCCGGATTTGGGCCCCACAAGCAGTGTCCTCTCATTGGTGACTGTGTGTGAGTGCTGCTTTGGCTTTTCAATATGAAGATTGGCAGTCACATTTTGGTCCCTTTCCACTGCCTTTTTGGATGGATCACTGCTGAGAGCATGGCTTTCTAAGACCTCCTGGTTTACACCAAGAAGTCCTGTGTGTAGAGACATTTTGACCCACGGAGTTCCTCTTGCTGCTGTGGATGGGTCTTCCTGAGCCCCCTGAGCTGTTGTTTGCTTTGGTCTCACTCGGTGAGAGGAGGTTTCGTGTTTGGTCCCTTGCTCCTCTGTCTTTTGCTTGGCATGCGTTATTGGGAGGGGCTGTAGGTGCACGGAGTGCCACAAAGGTGCAACCTTGTCCCTCCCTGGGACGTCCTGCACTTTTCTTTCTCTTTGAGTTGGGTCCAAATCTTCCCCCGCGTAGTGCACACTCTTCTTCGTCTTTCTAAAGTTCTCTTTGCCCCACATCCCTTTCCTATTTCTCCTCAGGCCGAGGTGCATCTCTCTCAGGCCGCTGTCAAACAGGTTCACTTGGTCCGGCTGCACTCGGAATCCGATCTGCTCCCTCCGGGCGTCCTCCTGGCGGACACGAGTGTTGATCTCGCTGAATGAGAGGCGGAGAGCTGCCATGTCAAAGAGCAGCCAGATGACAGAAGCGGCGAATATAAACGCCAGGACTCGCCCGCTTCCTCGGAAAAACTTTCGGATCTTGTTCATGGTACAAAGGCGTCTCTTGCAGCCTGCCCGCCCTTGGAGCCTGCTTACCTTGGGTGGAGGGGCGTAAAAGCGGCAGCCGCAGCAGCAATAGCAGTACCAGCAGCAGCCCCCCGCCCCCCTGAACACAGCAGGAAACGGCCGTCCACCGGGAGCTCTCAGCCCCGACTGCTTGTCACTCTCTGCCTGCGTGGCATTTCCAGGCAGAGCATCCGTGCCTGCGCCGCTGGTCCGGGCTGAACCTCGGCCAACACAGGCCTTGGGTCACTCTGGGAGCAGCCGATTCCCGCCTCCAGATAGTTCCCCTACCCCTCTCTCGCCTCCTGGAGCCCAAGCCCACCTTACTTTAAGTGCAGGGAAGGTGGGGGCGCGGGCAGCGCGTCTCTCCTCCCAGTGCTGGGCTCCAAGCTGTATGTAACTCAACACCACGTCTGGTAAGGAAAACATCTCAAGCCATTCCCAGAAAACTTCCTCCGGCTCTCACCTTCAGTGGGCTGTAAGCGCAATTACACACAGAGGGAACTCAGAGGGCACATGTTCCTGGTTGGTAACCCCACCTAACCCACGCCTGCGCTTTAACCCTGTTTTACCCAGGTGGCTCCAGGGACCGGCCTGGGCAATGAATCACCGCACCTGGTGTGTGAGTTTTACTGGGAACCGCTGGACGGAACCCACAGCCAATCGCCGTAGTGCTGACTCACAGCCACCCGGCAGGACAGGGTAGGATGTCCCCTTTCCGTTTCTGAAGCTGTACATCTTCGCAGGAGCAGAGAGCCGCGCCTTTCTCTCAGGGAAGGGCTGCTGGGGTCCACCTGCTGACCTCAGGGCTCCTAACGTCAAGAGGGGGCCTAGCACATTCTCATGGGCCGTGGTGGACATTTTCCTAATGTCAAAATCTTTTCTTGGCCAGGGCGGTGGAGGGACGACCCACTGCCATCAAGTTGGCTCGTACTCAGAGTGAGTGTTCAGAAGATAATACAATTGCCCCTTTGGGTTTCCGAAAGAAACTGTGAATCTTTACAGGAAGAGAGAACCTATCTTTCTCCCAGACAGTGGCTGGTAGTTTCGAACTGCTGCCCTTGCCAACACCACCACCAGGGCAAATGTGTCTGAGACAACATGGAAGCTAGCACATTCGCTTCTAAATGTTTATTCTCATTTTGGCTGTTAGCTTGTCACAGACCAGTACCAGATGTTCTGAGGAATAGACCAGGGCTTGGATCACACTTTGATGGATAGACGAGGCTCCCACTGTAGAAACAGGAGGGGAGAATTCTCCAAAGTTCTGACTGATGGGGATGACAAGCGATAGTTGATCTTGTATTTAATCAAAGCTTCCCAGCTGAGTGTGTAGCCATCGAGAAACGCTGGCCTAAAATGAAACACCTTAATCCTTTTGTTTCTTTCCCCTCCGTTTTCCTGAAATGTATGCCCAGATGTATAAAATAAACCTAGCAACACTATAAGTCCAGAACAACTGGATCAGAATCTTCCTTCTCTTTTTTAACATCTGTGGTTACAAAAGTTGTGAACGGAGGCGGAGAACACCGCTCTTGGAGGAACTCTGAAACCTCCATGCACTGAGGGGTCAACTGAGGTCTGGAAGTCCTAGGGAGGGGTAAGAGGAGAGACATCCGCGATGTTAAACATTCTTAACTGTGGCCTTCAGCAGCATTAGGTCTCTAATTG